AATGGAAGTTAATGGAACTAATGCTAGAAGCTAACTTTTTTAGATATCTTTAAGCTAACTTTAAGATTAGAGGAATGTTCTTATATATACATATAAGTAGATTTAATTTTTGTAACTTATAAAAATGATAGATAATTATAAGCATCAGCTCATAACTATCTTACACTTGATAAGTTACAAAAATTAAATCTATTTAGGTTAAAGCTACACTGCTCTATGATATAATTATCATAAACTTAAAAAAATTGAAAATATTTTTACAAGATTTATTACAATTAATACAGCGTTAATCACAATCTGATATTTGTAATCACTTCGAAGAACATATGACTTTTCATCGTATCTCTAATACAATCTTTTTCGTATTAATATTTTTAATATTCTTATTTTGTATGTCATATAGTAATATCACGTTTTCGAATACTAGCTTTAAAAATACTGATCAAGTAGTAAATATTTAAATACTAGAAATAAGATTTGGTGAAATATAGGTTACACCGAATTCTCTCCATTGATTGCATCTCTTTCGACAACTTCTTTGTCATTGGCATTAGCTATTCGTTTTTCGAGAGCTTTTTGAGCATTTTTTATAAGCTTGATCTCTGCAGCCAATAACCCATACTTTTTACATCTTCCATTCTAAATGATTTATTATGTTTTATGCTCACATCTAAAAGTATATAATTAACCTTTAATATTTAAATCATAAAAATCTAATAAAAATTAAAAATTGAACTTACGAACAATCAACTTCGCAAAATTCGTTCCACTCAATTTGTTGGGGCACTTATTGTTCATGGCAAAAACTGATTTTTATCAACAATATACGGATGAATTACATACAAAAACGTGCGCGTGGCGTTATCGCGGGTCGGACTAATATTGCAGGTTATGATTTAACTAAAAAAGCCAACGTAACGTCTTTCACTTCGAAATATGATAACTTTACGGTACATTTTGCATGTTTACTGGAAAATTACTTGACTAATTCTACTAAACGTTAACATTTTTCAGATATCTAAAGTTAACTTCAAATAGGACCACTGTACGATGTTGTTTTGCAGTTACCGTAAAGTTATATTAAAAATTTTTTCTCTAAGTTACCTTTTGTCAGAGAACGTAAGTTATCTTAAAATATAAAGCTTAATGTTATCATCACAAAGCTAACTGTTCTTCTTATCTTATAGTTCTCTGCAATTTACCTTTTTGATAATCGTAAAGATAACTTGTAAACGGCAAATCTACGATTTCTAAAAGTTGGCTTGTGCTGGCTGGGTGTACTCTGATGGGAACGGATTTTGCTCCTTTACGCGACCTCTGGGCTTATTCGTTACGCTGACTCAGAGATGGATTTATCAGTCGGCAGTTGGATCTCGACGAGTCCGGGAACTACCGGTTTTATGACAATTCTGTTGGTCTTTTTTTACACATCGAATCGATTTCCAATGGGCAGAAAAGTTTTTCGACCATTTCGCGACGTAAAATTTTTTGCATCGTAGCTATAAGGTATAGATGAGCTAGGGGTTGAAAAAAAAAAGATACATTAAAAAAAAAAGGATAAAGAGAGAAGGGTGCAATACTATCAATCGTGTTAACTCGATCACCTTGAGTGAGAGGGGCACATCTCTTCTTGACATACATATTAAATTGTCGGGTTTGTTCTGTAGGGGTTGTGCCCCTAACGATTTAGATTTTTCGCCTCTGTTTCTCGTGAATGACGAGCTCGTCACGAAAAAACAGCGCATGTCTTTTTTTTTTTTCTTCTAGTTTTTCGCTCCAAAACGCCAAGATGAAAATTATACTGTGACGAGTTTCGAGAAGTGCTTACTTATACTTCCCCGTTTTTTGAAGATTTTGCAAGAGTCGAGCCCCTTTAGGCGCTCGTTTGGCTTTTTTTTTTTGAAGTAGTCGGGTAGAGGGAAACTTTTGGCTGCTCACGAGTGCTTATTTTGTTCCTTCACTTTTCGAAAAGTGCCTGGTTCAAGTGGACTACAGCGGTAGTTTTTAAAAATTTACCTTCGAAGGTTTTCAGGCCATAACAACTTCGTGAAAGTGTCTTTGGTAGTTTTGTAAGGGTAACTGGTGAAATTTGAGAATAAACGTGCAAAAAGTTTGATAAAAAAAACAATTTTTGGCCCGCATGAAAGAACAAGTGTGTGTACTTACGTAAAATTTAATTTACATCAGTTTTTTAAGTTGACATCTTAGATCGCTATTGCTACAGCCGTGAAAAAAATTTAATGACTTGATGTATGAAAAAAATGATGATTTCAGTTCCCTAAATACCGTCGAAAAATATAACTTTTCCAGATTTTTGCTAAAAAATATTAATTATTTAATTTGTGCTTGTGGTTTGAAAAAAAAATAATAATAATAAATAAAAATTAATCCTTACAAAATCTCATATTTCGTTTCAATGATGTATTTTTTTTTTTTTTTTTTCATGCCTCGAAAGAAAAAGTTGTCCATCGAAAATCGAATGTCCAAAGAATCAACGAAAAGCACGTTCAATTTAATACACGAAGCAAGTAGGTACGAGTACATCAAGTAACATCGTCAAGACTCCGGCGCGCTCGCTTTTCCCCGAGTACCTCCAATCATTCTCTCGGGAATAAAAATTGCATTCGTCTTTTTTTTTTTATTCCTTCCTCCTTTCCTTCCCCACTTCGTCTTGCTCCCGGAATAGAAAAAAAAGAAAAAGAAAATGAAATGAAAAAAAAAAAAGCTAGAGAGAAAGTAAGCATTTCGTGCTCGGCTGGCGATTTACGAGAGAGCAACAGCACACCACCCCAAGGTTGCGCGAAAAACTTGAAGAACATTCCCTGTTGCTGTGCGGACTTTGCTGCTATACACGTATATCCACCGACTGACTTTTCTTTTCCTTTTTTTTTTCTTGCAATTAAAAATACCGATTTTCAATTTTACTAACTGCATCGCTTCAATGATTTCATTTTTACGTCCGAAAATTCACGCGCGTCGATAAGTATGCACTTTCGATGATTCAATGAAAAATTCGCGCGATAAAAGCGAGGACGTTGATCTTTGCGGAATCAAGCGAAGGAGGAAAAGAAAAGAAAAAACTAAAAATTTATCGATCCCCACACGTGTTTAAAATACGAGAGTGCGTTTGTTTCTTTTCTTTATTTGCTCCAACCGCGCAGAATCGGCGTAACGAAGCGGAGATAAATTACCCTCCGCACAAAGGAGGCGATAAGATAAACACGTGAAAACGCCTTTTATTTTTTTTTCTTCACTTTTCCCTCTCCCGCCGGTATGAAAAATCAAAGATTCTCAATTTGGCGCCATATATAACAACAGCTCTGGCGCCCGTGATCTCTTTTTGTTCGGCCGGGGGTTTTTCTTTTTTTTTCCCTGCAGCTAATTTATACCCCTGCTTTTTTGAATTCCGATGTTAAAACGCGTTTTTGCATGTAGCGCCGATGATTTCTCTCGCACGTGGTTCAACAGCCACGTGTATCGGTAGTAAAAGTACATCGGGTAATGTGCGTTGAAAAGAAAAACAAATTGAATCATAAAACATCGATGAGCACCCAGAGAGGAAAAGCTGGCCCGGGAGTATCAAACAAGAAAAAAAAGGGCCAAGCTCTACGTCGTGCGGGCTATCCGTTGGAATAGCTGTGGAATTCAATTTCCGGAATCTTTGGCCGCACCAAAGATGCTGTGCACGAAATATTTATATTCTGAACAAAATTGTAAGAAAAAAAAAAAAAAAAAAAAAAGATTAGGCGTACCTTGTGTACGGAGCCATCACAGTTTCCGCTCGATTTCGCGCTCTACCGACCCCGCGAACTCGTATCTGCCCTCTCACGTGTTGTACACCCTATATACCGATCTTTTTCCCCCATCGGTTGTCAATTTCGATATGCGGTTGCACCGAGAGAGCTTTCGCTCCTCTCTTTCGTTCGAAATTCCAGAGGTTTCGCCGTCGCGATTCCTTTTCTTACAGGTAAATCTTTATGTGCAGCGAACATGAAAAATTGGCCGTTGTTCTTTTGAAATGTTTATTTATTTTATTTAGGTATGTTGGCATGAAAGGTCACGTATTAAGGTACCCATGGTCTGAGTGCCTGCGTTCAACTACCTTTTCTGGGCCAGTGCGTAAAGCACGTAATTGCGAAAATAATATATATTATAGTACTTTATAGTCCCTTGGGCCAAAAAAATGACACTAGTTGTAATTGACATACCTGTTACGAGCGCAAGTGGACAATACATTTTGCAACTTTAATAGAGAGACTAACTTTTAAAATTGAATATCTATATCTTGGATAAAGTTTATACGCAGGTGTAATTCGAATGAATCAAAGAAAATGGCACTTTGATGTCATATATCAGGATATATTTACGTATATTATTATCTACTGTAAGTGGTTTGTACGTGAAACATTTTCTTTTTTTGCCAATAAAATAATACACAGTCATTTTTCGGTGCAAAACTTTTTTCAGTTTGCTGTTATCATTGTCAAATTAATTTTTGGTTTTGCTAGACTTTTACCATGTATACTGAGGTTATAGTGATAAATTAACTAAAATATCTGACAGTTGGCTCATCTCATAGTGACATTTTACGTGGCTGTCAGTGCGTTGGTACTTCCTATATGTTTGCCGCGAGCCTGTATGCATATATATCTTGTTTACATTACGTTATTTACACTTGCAGTTTAGATTTTAACAGTCACATTCAAGTCCTCACGGAAAAACAATATTGTGCAGCCGCAACAATAATTTTACTTGTAAGTTGTTTAATCTTTACATCGTTATTTATACTCATTCGATCCTCAGATGGTTCAACAACATTTCCAAACCGATGTTTCGGTGAAGTCTGCTATCCTGACACACGATTTAACTATTGGTACTTAACATTCTGCTCTCGAATAATATAAGTTATCTAATATTTTGACGATTCAGACTAATCATAGAAGATGTCATCAGTATCATAGATAATAATAATTAATTATTTTTAAGGGTTTCCCGTTGCTTGCATAGGTTAGAGTTAATTTTATCAAGGTGCTATAACCTAAAAACCAGACGTTTCCTTGTTGTTTACCGTCATCTCAAAACAAGTTTACAGTTTGTCTTGACTAATAAACATGCGGATGATTCAGACTTTACTTTAGAGCAGGCGAAGTTAACTGCGAATCTTTATTTTTTTATCGTGGACATTATTCGATCTCAACTTATTTAATTCTCATTTTTTTTATGTGCTTCAGGGTTCAGGGTTTTGTGCACACATCCTACAAAATCATGCCGGTCATGATGGACAAGAGCACGGTTATTCAGATGATGCAGAGCGATTTTGTTCAAATTTGTAGGGAAAGGAGTAATTTATCAAAGCAAATGAAAGATTCCGAGGAAGACGTGAGGGAATACATGAAAGATCTGCTTGCTCAAGTGAAATCTGGCTCGTTGATAGTAGTTGCAAAAACTCCAAATGTTTCGAACATGAGGAACATAAGCAGCAGTATTCAAATGATTCCAGAAAATGAAGAAATAGAACTCCTCTCATTGTCCTCCGCTTGCAACAACACAGAGCTCATTTTGGAAGTATCTAATGCTTGCTCTGGTAGAGCAAAAAGAGGAGCATCCATAAAGGCGACTGATAAAATAAAAATGCAGCAGTCGATACACATAAATGACAAATTGAGAAGGCCATCCAAAGAGGATGATGAGTTATTAACCAGGAAGGTAAGTTTCGTTGCTTTTATATGTATTTTTTAATTTTATGCATGAGTCTTGTAATGATATTCCTATACTTAAAACCATCAAGAAAAGTGAAGCAAGAAATTCCAAGAAATCATTTGGAAGCTGTGAAAATGTCAGACCTTCTAAGCAAATAAAAATGAGTTTGAACAAGAAAAATCAAATACTTAAAGAAATAAAAAAGAGAGAGTCGCACAAACGTAAGTTGAATGGTCAGGATACAGATCATGATTCCATTTCAATGTCTGAAAAACCAACTGAGCGTGCCTCCAAGAGACTATGCCTTACATATTCGTCCCCAAAGGAACAAAACACTAATACAAGACAGGTTAATGAATCTGTGGGTGTCAATAATGCTGATATAAGTTTGGCTGCAATAAACAAAGATGTAACAGGCACGCCCATCGAAAATACAAACTGCGAGAAAAAACAAAGCAGTGTTAATTATGCGACTGTTTTGATAGAACCCTTGCCTTCCTTCAAAAAGTCGGCGAACCAGACTTTCATGATTACAAATACTGTACTTAAAGAACTTAGTATGTTGAATAATACTAGCCGGAATAGGTCAGAAACAAGAGTTTCTCAAGATGATGGAGCCTCGGCAGGTTTGAAAAATTCAAGAGGATCATCAAAGAGCATAATAGTTCTTGAACAAAAAAAACATTTGAGCCAAGTTAATCATCGTAATACAGATAATGCATTACCAGAAGGACGTCAGTCATCGCTGCAAAGGCGCAATGCTACCTCTAATAATAGCTTCTTGGTGAGTGATGTAGATGAAGTTCAAGGTACTCCACCTAAGCAAAAAGGCTTAAAGTCGATATGCGAGGTCAAATCTGGATACAAACCAAAGGTACTATTTAATCCTTATGCCCCAAATTCTGTTAAAAAGAGAGTCCAAGCTTTTGAGGAAGTTGCTGTTAGTCCAAAAAAAGTTGAAACTGGGTGTGTGGCAAAAAATACTAGAAAAAATACACGTGCCCTAGCTGAAACTTTTGAAAGCCCTACAGAAGTACAAAGTATAAGTGAAAAATGTGAAAAAAAACGTCAACTAAAAGCTAATCCATACTGCAAAAGACGTCTCTTGCTTGGACAAATCTTAACAAGTAAAAATCACCTACTCACGCCCTCTAAAGCTCAAACTGTCATTAATATCGTAAGTTTTTTTTAACAATTGCCTCATAATTACTAGACAATAATTTTTTTATTCTTTTTTTCATTCAACTGTTTGTTTATTTAAATTTTAAAATTTAAAATGACAAAACTCGACGTGTAGCTTTTAAACAGATCTTGTGTAGATAATGTAACGCGCGTTGACGCGCCCATTCAAGCAACAAAATCATCTTCAAAGTCTGTAAATAAAGTATCTGAAGAAAAAAAAAGACACGCCCATAACGAAGATGCGCGACAAAAGCGCGAAGCGCTTCTTAAACTCGACGCTGAAGAAAAGAAAAGGTATTTTGATGATTTCTGTAAGTTGCAGCAGTTGTAACATTGGACATCTATGGAATTTGTTTTAGAAAAAGAGAAGAAAAAGAGTTGAGAAACAAGTTGTCTAGGGAAGCTCAAGAGAAATTAGAGCTTGAGAAAAGGCTTAAAGCTAAGAGAGAAAAGGAAGAAAAAGCAAAGTTAGCCCAGCAAATGCAAGACAAACAGAAGGTACTGATGGAGAGAAGGCGCTTGCTTCAAGTGCAGAGGGCACAGGTATGCTTTGTTAATAAATTGATTGCATGCACTTTTCAAAACTATTTGAAATCGTTGCAGGAGAAAGAAGAGAAGCGAAGACAGGAAGAGCTGATACGCTTGCAGCGTCTGCAAGATCAGGAGGAGCAAGAAAGATTACTTGCTGAACTGAAACGCCAAGAGCAAGAGTTGGAAAAACGAAAGCAAGCATTAAAAATGAAAAATAAGGTGGAATCCAAGGTTAGTTAATAATTTTTACCCAGCTAATGAAATTTTTGAATGTAGGATCATGCAAAACTTGTATTTCAATTTTCGCACAGCAGGTCAAGGCTGCAGCAGCGCAAAAGCAAGGGACAAATTATCACAAAATTGATAGTGTTCCTGCAAACAACACTGACGATAGGTCGGAGACTCTATACTTGACTCAAGGTACTCATTGTTTTGGCAATTTTTCTAAAGTGTATTTTATAAAGCTAATTTTTGGGGGTTTCAGAAAGTGTGCAGGAATTGACAGCATGGCAGAAATACATATCGCCGGATATCAGGCTTAAGTATTTTGGTGTGGAAAATCGCGATTATCACTATTTCAAGCATCTTAATTCCAAGAGATTGAAAAGAACGTCGAGTGCCTGTTGGGAAATCCCACTTGAATGATGGATCAATCAGTCCGTTATTGAAAAATGAAGAAGATTGTGTCGTAATATGCAACTTGAATTATTACAAGATATTTAATTATTTAAATAATTGGTTAAGATTACCCCACTATGGTTATCATAGTTATAATGAATTACTTTTTGCTCTTTTATAGAGCAATGGTGTATACAATCATTGTACATACATTGCATAAATATTTTTTTAAAATACGTGATGTGTCTTTTAATTCTACACGAAGGAACGGCTCGTGCATTTATATCTTTTTTTTAAAACAATTTAATTTAAACGCAGATTCCTCATTCACCCAAAAAATATGCACTAACAATTGTACTAATCAATCGGCAGCAGTTTCATTTTCTTTTTCATTATTTCTCTGTACTGCTTCTCGGTTATTTTTTCCCCACAAAGAAATGCAATTTATAAATCTAACTTACCATTTGAGTTATTGACAATCCGATCAGATGCCCCGTGGTCTGAAAAAAAAGGAAAAAAGGGATTGGTAACTTATTTAATTTCAAACTAAACAGTGTAGTTATAGTTCATGGTAAATTCTATTGGTGTTAAGTTTATGTGGTATTAAAGCTTTGGTAGAAAACAAAATTACACCGTCTCTGTTTCAAGTTTAAAGGGCAATAGGACATTTTAGAGTTAAAAAAGCGTTTTCGCTTTGTGCTTCTCGAAAAAATCAATTTTTTCATTTTTAATACAAAAGAAATCATAAAAGAAAATTCTTGGTATAACATATCCTCTACCCATAATACTACACACGTAAGCCTACAGATTCGTACATACGCCACACGGTTTCGCACGCAAACGGAGATGCGTGTGTAATTTTTTGATATAAATATATAATGCAAGTATATCTAAAGAAGGAATGTATAATTATAAGAATCGAAGAAGACGATGCCGCTGTGTGAGAGGAAACACAAGTATTCGAGTATAGGAGCGCAAGGGAGCAGTAGCGCACTGGTTTAAGAAACAGTGTCAGTGACCGACAGCCTAAGGCCATCATCATCGCTGCTCGCTACTTATAAGTGTACATAAGTATACTTGGATATGATATTATGCGCTCGTCTCTGGATTACTCTCTTGGCTGTACATGTGAGGTTCTCTTATGCATATATATTGTACACGTATGTTTGTGGGGTCGGCTTTTACTCTCCGATCCGATACGACTTTGAGCTGCAGGAGGAAGTTCTGTACACGATTCCCTTGATCGTTAAGGCTCGGCTTGTTGCGGTATACAGCTACATAGGAAACGATGATTTACGTACGATACTTCGTAGTGGGTCATTTGGCTCTGGAGAGATAAATCGATCGTGTAGCTGAATTTAGGCGAAAAATCGGTAACAGATTACCTATTTTTGTACACGAAATCGAGGAAGTGTGTATATTGTTTGCACGCGATATCATAAACGTGCGTAACAGTTCAAGTCCTTCGTTCGCGTCAGGCAAGACAAGCATATATAAATACCATATCTAGTTTCATCAAACTTACAGCGCAAGAGATTCGAGATAGTAATATTTACAAGAAGCCAATGCCGACGACGACGCCTCGCGAGATTAATGACGCGCGATATCGCTGCTGCGACAATTAGGACTCTTGAGCCATATTACAATGTGTACTTGTATCTCTCTGTCTCGGCGTGCCGCTCGTGTTTTTTTTTTTTTTTTTTTTTCGCCAAGGCCTCACTGCTATATACTTACGCTACTGTACGTCGTATAAAACGCGCGCACGAATCATTTACATTCGTCACATTGTTCCACTTTGTTTATCTGAATTGCCGATCAAGATTTTCTTTTTCGTTACATTTGTAACAATATAAATATATACATATGAATGTGTGTACATACATTTTTTTTTTTTTTTTATTAATAACGTAAGTAAATGTAAAACAATGTTTTCTTTTTTTGGTTGTAATTGCATTAAATCAATTACTAAACCAACTAAACTGTTGTCAGATCATCAATTGTTTGTTTGTTTGTAGATTTCTCAGAAACGACGATCAAGATGTTGAAATAATAGATTTTATTGACTGTTTCTCGCCTTGTTTGTTTCCACGGCATTTGTATCAAAAATCGATTTCCACTTGTACCTTATAATGTTGACTTGCTATGTTTTATGCAACCAAGCATTGGAGTTACATTTTGAGTAACAGTACACAATAGGCGATGGTAAAAATTCAATTGCATCTGTCTATGGTACTTTGTATCGTACGTTTAAATATGTTAGAAAAAAAACTTTATATTGCACAATAAATGTATACTAATTTGCAATGTATCCATGGTTAATTTTACTCGCTTGAAGCACAATAAATATACATCACCAACCAGTAGTTGAGAAATAAATAAATAAATGACACTTCAAAGAACCCTTCGCTCGTTCATACAAAAGGCGGATTAGACCTACGAGAGCCCCCCTCCCATGTTAACCACGGAAATCCTTAGTCACAGGAAGCACAGGTTGGTACCCATCATATACCCACGCCGTCGTAAAAATTTACGACATCCACAATAAAATGGCACCCGGGACGTGCGAAAATACGTCGCAACCCCATCCTCTCGCGCCATGTAAGTATGCCTACTTTCATTTTGCTAAATATATACCTGCGCACTTGAAAATACATACCCTCGTCTTTTCCTTGACACCCAACATTTTGCAAGTGGAAAAAAAAAATAAATAAATAAATAACCGGAGACACGGGGCGCATCATCACCGGATAAAGATATTATACGTGTACCGCGAAGCCGTACACCGACTACACACGTATATACATATTTCGCGATGACGGCGCCCACCAAAGTGGGCCAAACTGCATATGTGTTCAGTATAGGCTTACACGTCAAGGCGTGGGTATTTAGTTGTATAGCCGGTGGTTGGTGCTGCCGGTCAGCGCGTGTGGGTCAGTGCCAAAGAGTCAGATCTTTCTTTGACGATGAGCACCGTCTTTTGTGAAGTTACGAGTACAAAAATGCGCAGTTTCGCACGGATTTTATGTCGCAGAGAGAAGTAAGCTCACGGCCGTCGATGCACCATTGTCGTCAAGAGCCGCTGCGTCGATGGCTCTTACAAGTATGCCGAACAATAAAATCGGTATGGATTACCGTACGGTTGTCTCCAGGTATAAAGCCGGACGCGAGTGTCCCTTTATTTCATTCCACTGTTTGCGGGCGTCAGCCTTTGTACCATAGTTTCTTTTACTCAAAAAACGCGTCATTGAAAAAAAAATAACAATTAACGCGTTATACGCTGAATCGTAATCGCTCACTTTTTTGGAGAAAAAAAACAAAGTTCCACTTCATATTACGAGAGAAATGGGAATAATTTCAATTGGCGTTTATTTATTCGTGATGTGATCGAGGATACCCTTTCACGCGAAATCGCAGAAACACGTCAGTTCTTTTTTAAAAATTATTTTATTTGTAACATAAGAAGTTCAACTTCAATCGGAAAGTCAAATCCTTGGTATTCCACAATCAAATAAATCACGCGCAAAGTGTATCCACCATCACGAGTGTCGTAGTTCATGAAAAAAAAAGTCACTTCCGTTAAACTACTCCCGTCGCAGGTTCTCCGATTACCTACACCCGTCAAGGCAAACTCGAGAGGCTTGAAAGGGGTCGATCTTCGACGCGCACCTTGTCCTCGTCACCAAGATGTGGGTCGATTTTCGCACGCCCAAAGAGCCGCTTTGAATTGCAAACATGTTGTACTCTCCCGCCCGCGTTCACCACTGATATTGCGAAATGTCAATTTTCACCTACCGATCGGCAGAAAACACACGCCGTCACGTGCACACTGGGATTTCCGATTTCTATTTCGCGCGTAAGAGCTGGACACATTGATTTTGCAATAAAATTTATAATCATCACAAAATTAAATTACATCATTTACACTCTGGGGCGCAAAAATCTAAGTTGAAAACATCCGAGAGTCGTTAATTTGGAGAAAAATCGGCAAGCCATGGACTGTAGCCCTGCTCGCTTTCGGAGCAAAAGGAAGGAAAAGTAAAACACGAGCATGCATTATTGTACAGAGCCAAAGGGGGGGGGGGGTCCCCTCGGTTTTACGCGTGTAACCCACTTTCAGATCAACGCACGAGCCGCGGGTCGAAAAATCTCGAGCCCAATGCGGAAGACCATCGCGCGTCGTTGGCCCACCACTAAACGGGGAGGACGAAAGAAAAACAGCAAAACCCTCATCCTCCCAAACTCGTTTTTTTTCTCTCTCTCGCCTGCTTTTTTTCTTCTCCCTTTTTCGTTTTTCAACGTCACCTATGTACACAAAAAAAAAAACAAAACCTGCGAGCTCTCGCTCGAGAGGGGAAAAAAAGAGAGTGTCAGAAAAAAAGCGCAGAGGTGTTTTTTCTGGCGGACGTCGTTACGGTAATCCGAGTGTGGAAAGTTCGATCCGCCTCTCGTGTGCGTCGCGCGTGTGAGATGCATGTACAAAATCCTCGCCGCGAAAGTCGATTGCAACGCTCTTACTGTAAACGACTTAGGTGTAGTTTGCGTACATGACGCGTCATACGCCCACGCGGTTATTTAAAAATAGTGCCGATGCGACGATCCACCAAAAAAAAAAAAAAAAATTGTTCCTTTTTTATACATTTGTTTTGCAGAGTTAATTTAGTTTCGGTACGTCTGCGTCAGTAATTTTAATGGGCATTTTTGTTTCTGTCAAAGCTCCTGCCACGAACCAAACACTCTTTGGTCTAGTTGTGTACGAGTCCCACAATCAACTAAGCCGACCGGCTTGCTGTTCTTTACCGATTGTCCAATACACGCATCATCAGTTGGTTTCCGCCGAAAGATCTCGCAACTCGCGTCCACACCAATCTGTCATTCATCATCATCATCATCCTTTTGCCCCCCCCCCCCCAACCCTCGTAACATGGAGTACCGAGAGATTCGTACGTATTTATTAGTCGCGAGTCGTCATTTTTCTGTTCGCGGAGAGGAGCGACGATTTGCTAGAAGATGTGCACTTGCATAGAAGC